TTCACGACAAAACCGCCAAAGCTCATTTTCAGCATGCCACGACTTCAGCTGTCAACCGATTTTATCTAACGGGCCACTGATGACGACAAACCAGATTAAATCTGCACAGATCATAACCGTCGCACAACGCATACTATCAGTACCGGTGTTCGACCTCAAGTCTGCCTGCATCTTACCACGAAAGCACTCTCTTGCCTCTGACTAATTACCAATTTTATGCCATCTGTCGAATGTCTCCTTGAAGCAGTGGCCGACGAGACGAGGCAGTTTCCTAAATGGGTTATTCGCAAATGCGCTGCGCAGTCGAAGCACCTGCTACTTCGTCTGCAGTGCAACGCCAGAAGCCGAGTTGCGCCGAGAAACAACGACAGTTCGTGATTACCTCAAAATCGACGACGAGCTGATCGTTGCTTTTCGTGTTAGCACCTGCAAAGAGAGTGGGTAACATCGAGGATCGAATGAAGAATGTTTATTCAGCAGCCTCCGGCCTTCCGCATGCCATACACGTCGCGTTTACAATTTGTTTTCAAGCTGTTGCTGCGACGCTACGACGTTACACCTTTATATAATGGGTCAACATGTGACAAATTGGCACGAAGGCCGGCTAGCGTCAGCCACTGTTCTCTCATGGAATTTGCGAAAATAAAGTAATGACTTCAAACTGTGAACCGCTTGGAAGTTGGCATCAGTCCCAGAATGACGGCTATTTATCTGACGACGTTTCGAACAAATTAACATGATGCACAAGCTTCTTAGCCATCACCAACCAACTTTCTTTCAGTTAAACCTACAGTAAACGCTACTTAAGTGAAGACGTGTTAAACAGGTGCATAAATGCTATGGTGATTGGCCAAATTTCATTTAGATATTTATTAAATTATGTGCTTATTATTCATTAGTAAGTAACTTATGCTACTACCCATGGGGCTTGATAACGTAATTGCTAATCTAACTTCGATCAGCTATTTGCAAGGACATTTTTCAAATCTACTTGGTGTGTACATTTGTTTAAATCCCTCCTTTGTCGCTCACTGTATGCATTCGTGAGCAGAGTTGTCCATTCAATAGAGCGTCCAACTCGTAACGGAGAGGTCCGCGTTCGAGCCTCAGTCGGGTAATTCGCGCTTCTTTCGTCCGAGGTTGATAAATGGGTACCATCTTTTGGAAATAAGCAGGAAACTACGCACTTTGTTTGTCACCTAGCTGCTGTGCTCTCCGCCTCTAAAAAATAATGCATTCATGGTTCATGAAATCGAATTTGGGATCAGCGCTCATCAAGAATTTCATAAAAAGGTGGGCGCCGGAAATTATTCCATCATGAAAGTGTACGGAAGTCTGACATTCCAACAGCCAAATATTGTCCTTTCCTTCTTTTTTATTTCCATCTGTGTGACTTTCCTTTCTCAATACTGTTATTCATTTATTTTTGTCCGATGTCGCATCTATACCATAACCTCACCCATTCTGCTCATCGGATTAGCGAACTTCTCTCGTTAATTACAAAGAGTCGGTCAGTTAGTTTCGATGACCGATCTTTCTTTCGGGTCGTAGAGGGAGACGCGTCCGACAATGTCTCCAACGTTCTCTATCCTGCTTCAGGCCTTATGGCAGCTGAAGGCGTAGCAGCACGACGACAGCTACCGAAGATGGATGCTATGATGGCGAAAGCGAGAGTCAGTAAAGCAGTCGCTAGCTGTTCCGCACGGAGAAGGTAGACAGGCGATACAGTAATAGCAAGTCAGACGATTAAAAATAACACTTGGTAATGACCGTTGTACCAATCCGCGGGTCCGAGTTAAATTACTTCTTAAAATTGTGATATAATACATCTTATAAATAAAGTCATTCTGACCTGCATAATAAACAACTTTGAATTTTAACATTAAGAGTTGCAGTACACCGCCTGCTGTATTCGAATCCAATCTACCAGTCTTGCCTAGCTTGGAGAAGAAGTGTAATTTTGGAAAAAGCTGATGAACTTTCTGCTTTCGTAACCCACGTAGATTACCCGAAAATCCGATAGATGGATGATTAAACAGACGGAAGGACCAATGGAAAAGTATTCATTTTCTTAACATTATAAGCAGAAAATGTGGCTACTCATAAATTCAATCATTCATTTTCGATGCCCGCTTTCT